CTCCACGGGGCGGAGCTACTACTGCCAGGTGTGCGGCGCGCAGTTCTCCATCAAGTCCGAGCTAAAGGCGCACGAGCAGCAGGAGCACGGCGACAGCACGGAGCACAGGTGCGCCTCGTGCAACAAGGTGTTCTCGCGACCGCCGAGGTCAAGTCACACACGTGTCTCACGGCGGAGAGGAGGAGGAGCGGAGGAATCGCCTGCTGGGGCCGCAGGAGCTGAGCACCTCCGCCGCCCTCACCTCCATCACTGCAACGCCCGTGAACGCTCACCCCGTCGCCAAAGAGGACATCGAGGGCGAGGAGGAGGAGGAGGAGGAGGAGGAGTACCTGGTGGTGCACATCGAGGGCGAGAGGGTGTCCTACGTGGTCAAGAAGGGGACCAAGAGCTCGCGCAACAAGGTGCTGGAGATCGACGCGGCGCGGCCGGACGCGCTGAGCGAGGACGACTTTCCCGCGCCATGCTGTCCGAAAGACCATCATGATCAACGTGCAGGACCGACGCCCGGCCTCCTGCAGGACGGCCAGACCATGATGTCCCTCCCGCCGGAGATAGAGGAAGGCGAGAGCGCTCCGGCGGGACTCGGCGGCGGCGAGGACTCGGCTTCAGGGCTGGACCACATGGATGCCGACAAGGCCGCCCTGCCCCTCGCCAGCATCAAATTGGAGCCGCAGACGGAGGACGACCTCGACCAGATGACGCTGCGGACAAGGCCCTGCTGCCCATCGTCTCCCTGGACACGCTGTCGCCGCCGGCCAAGGTCTCGCGTAAGCCGGGCCTTCGTCCCATCTCGGCAAGAAGAGCCGCAACATCGCTCTCAAGGGCGAGTGCGACGACCTCAACCTGGACGAAGACACGAAGGTCGGCGGCGGCGGCGGCGCGGGGGCGGTCGCGCCGCTTACCTGTCGCAACTGCGGGAAGGTTTTCCAGAAGCGGTGGAACTTCCAGCAGCACATCGCCACCCACGACGCGTCCCTCCACAAGTACAAGTGTGACACCTGCGGACACACCTTCGCCTACCGCTCCACCCTCAACAAGCACGTCCTCAAGCACCGCTCGCCGCCGCAGCTGCATCCCTGCCAACTCTGCAAGAAGGTCAGTCCTACGCGGTTTCCTTTTTAGGGCGGTTTATGGCAGGATAACATAAACATCTCATGGAAGTAGTGTTGGTCAGATGATATGTCATGTCAACAGCAATTGTAGTAACTGTGTACTTAGTTTTCAGACTGGAAAGTCACATGAATAGGCAGTGAACCAAATAGTGATAAAGCTAGGAATGTATATATATAATATATATATATATATATATATATATATATATATATATATATATATATATATGTATATATATATATATATATATATATATATATGTGTGTGTGTGTGTGTGTGTGTGTATGTGTGTGTGTGTGTGTGTGTGTGTGTGTGTGTGTGTGTGTGTGTGTGTGTGTGTGTGTGTGTGTGTGTGTGTGTGTGTGTGTGTGTGTGTGTGTGTGTAATATATAAACACCTACATATAATGTAAAAGAACATAACACCAAACGACAACGAAATGATTCCGTCCCTCCCGACAGACGTACAAGCGGCCGGCCTCCCTCAAGCAACACCACAAGCGCGAGCACATGCAGCAGCGGCCGTATGTGTGCGAGTTGTGTGTGGGAAAGACTTCTTCGGGAAGAGCGACTTCAAATATCACATGCGGTAGGTGGGGAGGTTTTGTGTGTGTGTGTGTGTGTGTGTATTTTATTTCCTTTGTTTTTTTCGTCTATACGTAGGGAAGAAAAGATTTCCCAACACAGTAAAAGTTTCCCCTCCTTACACACGGGTTGCTTGCAGGATCCACAAGAAGGAACAGCCGTACATGTGCTTCGCGTGCGGCCGCGAGTTCTCCCACCTGAGCCACCTGCACCGCCACGAGAGGATCCACACAGGGGAACGCCCCCACAAGTGCCCTGTGAGTCTTTGTCTCCCCTTTGGGCGAAGGATCTTTTTTTTTTTTTTTGCCAAGGTTATCTAGGGTTTTTGGTTAGCTTTTTCGGAATGGTTGATCTTTCATTTTTTTGTCTTTCCGAGTGTCATTAGTTGTTTTCTCCTGGATAACCCCACCCACGCCTCTGTCTGTCTCTGTGTTTGTTGTTTCTGTCCCTCTGTAATTCTGATATTCTCTCTCTCTCTCTCTCTCTCTCTCTCTCTCTCTCTCTCTCTCTCTCTCTCTCTCTCTCTCTCTCTCTCTTCTCTCTCTCTCTCTCTCTCTCTCTCTCTCTCATAAATATCCATGGTCATAAACAAAAATTTGAAGAAAATACATTTTTGTTTAGTACGTTCAGTTACATGCCCATAGAAAAATCTTCCATGATTTCAATTAGTTCATATTGATGTATCAGTTTAGAAGTTATTTTTCAAACATGTCTCCCACTCCTTCCCAGTACTGCCCGAAGAAGTTTATCCAGCTGGTGACGCTGAAGATCCACCTGAAGAAGCACGAGAAGCTGGCTCCCGAAGAGCTGAAGCCTGCAGACGAGGGCTTGCGAGGGAAGGAGGAAGTGGTCTCAACCTGGGCCTAGGGGAGGAGCTGGTGGGCGAGCAGGCCAACCTCGTGGCTGCCATGGACGAGAGCTGTGCAACCCCTCCAGTGCTACGAGTCTAGGCGTGTCCAGTGCCAATGCCATCACCACCAGTGCTTCCACCATAAGCGCGAGCATTGCCGCCTCACAGGGCAGTGCGGAAGGCGAGGAGGAGAACAGCGGGGCTCTTGGTGTACATACGAACTCAGACCTTGGCTGGAGAGGGCACTCAGCCACCAACGCCGCCGCCCTCTTAGCCAACACTTCGGCCAGCGCCCCGAGGCTGACCATGGACGGATTCCCGCGGGACAGTTATCCTTGCCCAGGGAGGGCTGGAGGATGCAGACGGAGGAGGCCAGTTCAGCGGAGGCCATACTGCAGTTGTAGCGGGAGTCAATGGAGACTGTATTGCTATTTTTGTGCAAGACGCCAATGCCATCAGTTAATTCATGTGATATATACTCTCTTTCAATGGGCTGTTCAGTTGTTGAGTTTGTAATTATATTGTGTTGAATAATCCCATTTTGTACTATGAAACTGAGAAGAAAAGAGTTGACTATTTCTATATGTTTGCATCTTACAGAGATAGATTGCTGATACTCTGTTGGGATTTCAGTGATTTTATATTGATATACTAATTTAAGTTATTTTTCAAATGTCTACATTGTGCGTTGTAATATTGTATTTATTAAATAATACATATGAAAGTGAAATGATCTGGGGGGAAAGGTAATTATGCAAACTATGATATCCATATCTTTGATAGCCCTCAGTTATTTGATTTAAAAACCTCAATATGCAATAACTACCATTAATTCCATAAAAGATAAGGAGGGGAATTTATGCTGAACAGGTGAATAAAGCAGGGAGAGGAAGAGTAAGGAAATGGGTTATTTTCCTTTATTGCTTCTTTGTACCTTGTAGAAGTAATAAAGTAAAAAGGCCCTAACGTAATCATGTGTCTCTGCGTTCCCCTTGTTTTATTCTTATGGAAAATAACGAATCTGATATTGCTCATTTTTACTCAGTACGTGTATCATTGTTTATTACTTTGTTATTGCCTCCTTCCATCCGTCCTGTTTTGGAAGTTTATCATATGGTGCTTTTATTCTTGCATTCTTGATTTTATTTGTGAATATGGGGTTTATGTTCTTATAATTAAAAGCTTTTCTCTTCTGTGCCTGTGAGGTGCATGTGGCATTTATCTGTGAAGGTATTCAACCAAGGACACCCCTCATTTACTTGATATAAACGTTTATACAAATTTAGATTAGGATCAACAAGATTTCTAACTTCATTCTCTTCCCAATTGATTATGGATTTTTTTCCTTCTGTAATTCTATGAATGTAGAAGAGTAAACATGATGCCTCCAAACACACACATCCCATTTCATGTTATTGAGAGTTCTTGGAATTTTTGTCTCACACTTCTATGCAAAGCAAGATGGCTTCATATGATAACCTCAGTGATAGTTAAGTGATTAAGGCTTCCAGGTACTTACACCATCTTCATTTTTATTTATTATAATTTTCTTCCTTTTCATCATCTCTTCTTGTATCTTCGTGATATCAGGCCATTGCAATGACAATCTTTGATATGTTTATTGAATGTGTGTAGTGTTGCATGGCCAATACAAATTTGTACAATGTGAATTTTTCTTCTTTTGTAAATAAAGTGTACAGAATATCTACTCGTATTTTAAAATTTCCTAAACTGCTAATAATAGAAACTTCTGTATATTGTATTTCATGAGTTTTACCACTACAAGTTTCATATGTGTGAAAACCCAGAGCAAATTGATTATGTATATATGAAACAAGTGTTAGGCAGTCAAGAATGAATTTGTGGACTGATCCCGTCTCCAACAGTGCCAAAACAGCAAGTTTGGAGACCACTTTTAAAGTAAAAAAAATAAAAGTTAAATCCCAGATGCTTTTAGTATATCTAAATGAAATTGTCATAGACTTTCTGGAAAAAAAAAAGGAAATCTTAAGTGAAAAGCTCATCTTTTTCACGCCAAGTTAGTTAAGTCTTTTTCATTGTTCCTTTTTTTCTATCCCAAATCTACAATACCTAAAAGTAAAGGATGTGTAGCTTGCATCCATCTTGAAAAATGTCACTGAATTTGCCTAGATTAACATATATGCCACACCTAATTATGTACAAACAGGAATATTTAGAATTAAATCAGGGCCTTGCTTCATAATCTAACCATATATACACCAAAATTAAGATGTTAAGAAAAAATATTTTGGGTATAAATGAGTTAATAACTAAAGCATTGTTGATTTTATTATTCAGTAACAAAAAATACTGACACATGTAATCGAAATGCATTGATCTGACCTTATAAAAAATCAATAATCACATACACAATTCACATAAATCAAAACTATTTATTAACATATAAAGTAGCCATAATTTGAAATTTAGAAAAAAAAGATTTAATATCTTAACAAACATAATATTTAATTAACGTACATAAAAAACATGCAATGTATAATTGAAAGATCTGATTCAACTTAAACAACTAATTGTTCACACAGACAAGTAATCTTAGGAATTATACTAATAAATACAAGTAGATTTGGCACAGGGTCAACATTTGTATACATAAAATAAATATGTGTATAAATGTATATACATACATATATGCACATATATATATATATATATAATATATATATATATATATATATATATATATATATATATATATATTTATATATATATTATTATTATATATATATATATATATACAAACTGAGTAAGAGGAACAATATTATTGAGGAGAGAGGTCATATACAGTAGATATACATAGGAAGTTCAATGCTTATGAATGCAACTAATTCTATCATATAAATATGGCCATGCCACACAAACTTTCACACAAACATACAAACACATACAAGCTCTGGCAAACACACAACATACATATAAGCATAAGCATGACATCACAAAGCACATACGATCAAAGAAACGTCCACACAAACATACACTCTCACACACACACAGGAAAGCAACCAGATACTTACAACCACAGACATTCATAGATACAAACCTAGATGACCAGTAAAAAGCAGAGAAAAAAGGGGAATTAGAAAAAAAAGAAAAGGAGAAGAACAACAACAAAAGGAAGAAATAAAATAAAGAAGATCAGGGAGAGAGAGAGAGAAAAAAATCTTTCATGATTCTTAATTGCACTACTTGACACTAGACTTCATGACACTAGATGCATGATATGTGACCCAGGTGGGAATAATAATAGCACTTTATTAGACTAGGGAAAGCATGCACCACTACAACTGAAGACAGGAGTACAAAGAGGAATATCTCTGAGTACAAAAATGTGTTATTAAGTGACTGGGTGTGTGGGTTAATGTGACAGAGCATGTGTTTGTGAGAGTGTGTGTGTGTGCAAGTGCATGTACAAATATGTATATATATATGTACATCTCTGTATGCTGATGTGTAGATGTTGGTGCAACATTATAATACATTGTGGAATGACCTTAGTCTTTTCACGAAAAAAAAAATAATAATAATAATGAACAAGGCAAAACAGTAATCGCTTCACTGCCGAAGCCAAAAATTTAATTCTCCATATAATTACAATAATTTCATGATTATTTTCCTTTGAATATTTTACCTAACACATGTGTCACAAGGACAAATTTTCAGAAGTTAATTTAAGGAAAGTATCTCAATACCATAACTACTTTTTATGAATGCAAGACTGAGCATATCCCATACTAATGATACCCTGACCTTGCCAACAGGTGGATATGACAACAGTCCTTCACAGGAATTGTGTCTGATTGTTGTTTCAATATCACAAATTTCAAATCAAAATATAAAACAAAGCAAAATTCCCTCAGCTAGTTTCTTCACCACCATTTTACAAAAAATATCTTACATGTGATCAGAGGAAATCACTAATACCAAGTCCTACTGGTATTACTGAGGGAACTTGTGCTGATGATGTGTCCAGTTCCACACAGGACAAAAACATTCTAAAAGACACTCTACCCTCATCACTTAACAATGCTGCTTTACAACAATCGCTTTCACCTCAAGCAGACCTTAGTTTCCAAAGGTAGCTTTAGCCTCAAGCCTGCCTCAGTTCAGCTGGTAACAGAAGTTGTAATTTGGAGGAGGAGGAGGAATGGGAGGCTCCTGCTGTGGTATGGTGACCCCCTCAGCATCAAGGAGGCGCAGTTTGATCTCCATGTTTAGTAGCATCTCCAGGTCCCTGTTGGCAGCAACACTGGGCATTCTCTGACCTGCAACAGGATCATTCCAATATTTTAGATTGCTTTCAGTATCCAATAAAATCTCAATATGTAGAAAGTTATGAATGAGAATAAATATCTTCACTACCTTCATGTATTTCTGACAAAGATATATTCGAAACCAATCAAATACATCTCTTGTATTATGAAGATATTCATTCTCATTCATACCTTTTTACATTTGTCAACATGACTATGGTTCAAAGTCTCAATATCTGAATGATAACTCAAAGAATAGTCAAGGTGTTCAAAACGCATATCAGAATTTCTGAATACGACACAAATTCAATATAATCTTGAAAAAATAGGGTGAAAAATAAATTGGAATAATAAGTGGATATACAAAATGATATAATGATGCACATAATACTTACGCAGTAGGGCATTTACCCCATCTATCCAGTAATTATATATGGTTTCCTCTGGAGCAACAAAGTCTAAGCTGTTTGTTTCGTTGACATTATTGCTTTCAAGAATAAGGGAGAAGGCTAATTGTGAAGAACTTTTTTTTCTGTAAAAAAAAAATTCAAGGTAAAATTTATAATTTTGTAAGGTAATACAGAAAAACTATCTCTCATTATTTCTTTCTAATCTAATGAGACAGACAGACAGTTAGACAGACAGACACACACACACCCAGACAGACACACACATGCACACACACACTCTCTCTCTCTCTCTCTCCCTGCCCTCTCTCCCCCCCCTCC